CCTCTGGTCCGCTGGTCCCCTGGTCCTCTGGTCCTCTGGTCCGCTGGTCCGCTGGTCCTGCCACCAAATCTGCACTCCAAGGCCCACAAAGTCCTGCACCTGCCACCAACTCTACACTTCCACATCAAAAGCTCCTGCGGCTGCCACGAAATCTGCACTCCAAGGCCACAAAGTCCTGCACCTGCCACGAAATCTGCACTTCAAGGTCCACAAAGTCCTGCACCTGCCACGAAATCTGCACTTTAAGGTCCACAAAAAAGTCCTGCGCCTGCCACGAAATCTGCACTCCAAGGCCCATAAAGTCCTGCGCCTTCCATTGGCCACCAATTCTGCACTTCAACATCCACAAAGTCCTGCGCCTGCCACGAAATGTGCATTGCAAGATCCACAAAGTACTGCACCTGCCACGAAACACTACGACTACCACTACGATACTGCTGCTATTAGTCCGGTTGCTACTCTTACTGCTACTGCTATTTGGAATATTGTTTTTGATTCATTAAATGTCTTTTTGATGCGTGTTATTTTTTTATTGATGCGCTAAATATTTTTTTGATCTCTCACCCTTATCACACTTGATCCGCTGACCAAGTGGAGGAACGAAGAATCACCTGACGCAATGGCTGGAAACATGGTGCGCTGGTCATCTTGCAGTTACGAGAACAGCCCTTTGCGCAAAAGGCCCTGCTGCGGAACTGGCAGCCGGATTCTGCTTTCGGACATGACCGGGGGAGAAGAGACATGTCAAGTTGAACATGTTTCAATATGTTTCACATAAGCGCAACAAAAACTATATATACGTATAGGTATATAGTGGTAGGATTTTTCCAGAAGCTTTATCACCCGCCTTGAGATAAGAGATGAGGCATACTCTTTTTGGTTTTTTTCAGGAAGCATTTTCTGCGCTTGGGAGGCCAGTCCGTATAGGGGAATATGCGTGCATACTGCCTGAAGTGAGGACTAAAGAAGCGCACCGACGCAGGAAAAACACTAGTTGAGATGTATTTTGAAATGATGTTTGTCCAATTTAAGGGACTCACGGGCGAAAGAAGTGGGGCAACTGGCGGGGTTGATCTCAATGTGTTGGAGACAAGTGCAGATGGTGTGGGTGATGCGCTGGAACGAGGGCAACTGGGGGCAACGGCGGGGCCACAAGGGAAGGTGCAAACTCGAAGAGGGAGCAGTTGCAGCTGTTTATGAAACAGTATACAGGGTGTGTTTGAAGTTTTCAATGTTGGGAACGTGACAGGTTGAGATTTGGAACGTTTTTTCTTTCTGCTCAGGCCAGCCGGGGCATCCCATGCGATTCTGCCCTGGGGGGCGGAGACGACATTCGGATCTGTGTGGACGCGTCAGCTCTTGGCCGCATCCTTGCGGGCTGCTTTCTGAAGAATTGCTCAGTTTGCTGCGTCAGGAAACTGCAGTTCAATATAGCAGAAGACAGCCGAATGATGGAATTAAATGAAAGATTAATGATTAATATATATGATAGGGTTTGATTTCCACCGATGTTGATGTGACCACTGTTTTGAGCCTCGATTGCCGACTCTTGTTGCACGTATCTTAGTAGTGTTGCATGCATCTTCATTTGTTTCTGAGGAGGATGCAGCAAGCCTTTTCGTCTAATCCGAGAGGATCGATACATCTGAACAAAGCACCGGCAGCCCCGAGCAAATGACAGCCACAACAGGGCTGCGCTGCCGATGATCGCAAGGGCGTGGCACACTGGCAGGTTGCGACGCAGTTTAGCATGGAATAGCAGAAGACAGCTGAATGATGACTTCATGTTTGACGGTTTGACGTCATATGAGATGATAGGGTTGCACGAGCGAGGGTTAGATTTCCACCAATGTTACCACTTATTGAGATTATTTAAGCCTCTATGACTAAGCTATGAAAGTTGTTCCGAGCCCGAAAAGGTCCTGTAAGCTAAGTTAAGCAAGTTTGCTCTTGCTGCATACAATGTCAAAGAACAGGCAAAGTGCCAATCTTTGTGGATATCTCTTTGGCCAATCTTTGGTCCAACATCGACATTGGAATCGAGAAAAATCTGACTCACCAAGCAAACGATTCCGATCCTCAGCCATGTTGCTTGCTCCATGTCATGAGCGGTGCATACAGGGGGATAAAGAAACGCGAGCGTGAACGACCTTCAAAACGCGGAGCATGTCACATCAGTATTGCGTGACATTCTGATGTGTCAGAGGCAAACGGAGAGGCAAAGGTGCACAGGAAGAGCTTTGCAAGCTTCGTGGAAGGCCCGGGACATCCGTGGAACCCGAGGCTATTCCTTCCGTGGAATGATGCCGTAGGAAAACTAACCGTAAAAACCCAGGAACCTTCACAGAACTGTGGAAGCTGTGGAAGGTATATATCTAATGCATTTTAATGTGCTATAACTTTAAATTATGCCTTCGCGAAAGCTTAACATGCAGTCGTGAAAGGTTCGCAACAGTTTATGTTTACTGTGTTTTTCTTTTGTGGTTTGGAACTTTTCATGCCCAATAGCTTGCGAAAGCTCGGGAATGCTTGCAAGAGCCAAATCATTTCCGTCCGCGAAAGCTTGCAGTTGGTTTGTGCAGAATGCAGCCGCGCACGAGAAGTCCAACACGAGAAGCCACGAAAGTGTTGCGAGTTCGGAACTTGAAGCGCTCACGACTGCATTTCAGCGGCATTGAGTGAGGCATTTTCACTCCTCTGAAGGCCGACGGTGTAGACCATGCGTGGAGCTACAGACGAATTGGCATAAGTATGCTCTGCAGATGCTTTCGGATGGTAGCCAGCTCATGTGGTGGAGAGTTTGCTCGTTTGCCCTGGTATCATGAGTCCAACTAGGTCACCAGCGGAAAGCCCAAGCGGATTTGAATTGTATGACTTCCAAGACCTTTCAAGTCTACATGATGCATCTCCCCCTGAATCTACTAGACTTTGTTTCCTTTCCCGGCAGGTCCAGGTCCTCGCGCACAGAAAGAGCGAAAGGAACGCTCAGAACGTCCTTCAGTGGACACCGTGGCCAACACTCTGTTTAGTCCACAAAGCTGGTTCTAGAGGGGTGCTTGGTGGACGAATGCGCCGACAAAGCTGGCGCCATACCTTGTCTTGTTCCCATGCGTCACCACCGTGAAAAACACGATCACCGAAGTCTCACCTTGGCCTTGACCAACAAACTACTCCAGCCTCATAGCAGTCCAGCCTCTCTGAATGCAATTCGACCGACCTTGGCCGCCTCCCTCACCGTTTTAAGAGGTATGGTCTGGCTTACTCAAGCTATAGAGTTCCTGAAAATGGCACACTATATTCATGCGATACTGCATTGACCATATATAGCCTGGATTCAGGGAAGCACTCAGATTGCCTTTATAATAAGCGGCATATTAATTATACAAGAAGGCACATATACTCCCGAAATAAAAAGGCTTCCAGCTCCGTGACAAGCACACCTTGCGAAGAGCTAAGAGCTTGTTGAAGCAAAGTCAGGCGGTGGCCTTGCTATCCGGTCGCAAATGTGTCGCTGTGATCCGCACCAGGCGGTGCTTCGACCACTGCAGCTTCGACAGCTGGTCGACGACTGCAGCGTTTTCCCCCAAGCGGCCCCGCAGTGGAAGACCGAGCTTTCCACCATGTCTACACTTGGGATCCTATGAGGGCACAAACAATCCCAAACATCCAAGTACGAGTACTTTCAGTGGATGGTGGTTTGCGTCAGCAACATTCAATTTCAAGCGCTGGAAGTACGTATAAGTTGCGGACATCCACCAAGTCCCTTGCAAGCCTTTCCTTTTTGTGTTCATGCATTCTCATAGTATGGGGGGGTTGCTAGGTGAAAATTCAACGACAACTTTCTGTGGAATGTTCCCCTTTTTTTGAGAGCTGACATTTTGCAGGTCCCAAGGCGAGATTGATTGAAGTTGTTTGTAATATTCACATTTCTTTTTACGCAGTTCAACTAGGCCCGGTGGATTTAGAATATTTTGGAGAAATCAAAGGCCAAGTGTCAGCCACTGATTCTCTCTTCCGAAAAGTTTTATATAGCTGGTGCAGAAAGAGGTTTAATTTCCTAAATGAACTCCCGCAGCTGAATAGCTATATCCCCGAAGCGACTAGGTGGAGGCCATCGCTATTAGGAACAAGAAGCTACTATCCTCCCATCGATGCACCGGATTCGTGGGTGGGCTTTTGCATAGCGCTCCATGCCGCAGTGTTGTCCTCCAGCATGTCATCCAGGCCTCCCGAATCACATGTAACAACATCATCAACACAAGTTGTATTTTAGCCTGCTCCAGGGTCCAAAAAGATCCCCACCCCTTCTTTTGTAGAAAAATCAGCGGGGACGTGGGAACATGTCAGCTACATGGTCCATACGTTTTGATAGGGGGAGGGGGGTGTATGAAAAATGTAGCTAACATTTAGGGAGGTCCCCCCTCTACAATCTTAAGCTTATATTTTTTTAGATGTAAGTTACAAATTGGTACGCCGCGTGTGTAATGTTTAACTATTCTGTGACATGTGTTGTGACTGTATGCTGACTGGAACCCCCAGCGAGAACGCCGAGAACGCACCGTCCGTAGAGGTGAGTCGGGGTGTTTTGCTTTCAGGAGCCATGGGATTCCTTCCTTCAAGGTCTGGTTTCTTGACATCATCAGACTGAACTTCAAAAAAGGAAGAAACATGAAGGACAACAGCAAGTTCAACCCTTTCCTTCTCCGATCTCGGTCTCGAAAGGTGTTATATACGGGCTAAGCCGTCCGAAAGCGAAGCCCCGATACCCTGCCGAGCCCTGGAAGTGGAAAATTCGTTGCTCCAACCAGCCTTTTCGTATTTTTCAGACCTACCTGGCTTAGTTAAAGGTACCTACCAGGTACGTGGTATGTGCCTAAATGTAACTTGTCCATGTCTACATTTTCCCACGTCCTCCCCCTCGGGGGATCCAAAAAAGCAGTTCTCCTTGTCCAATTCGCTTCCACGCGGCGACGGAGCACCGCTGAGCTTCCGCTGCGCAGGCCTGGCTTTGAGCGAGGAGCGCGCCCCACTGGCCGCCCAGGCAGCCGCAGCAGCCCTGGTGGTACGGCTGGCGGCCACTGGAGCGGGTTTGACGACCGGCTGATGGGACCATCATGACGGGGATTCCAAGTGTTGGCAATTGGTGTGGCTCCCAAGTTCGGGTAGGAACAAGGACGCTACGAAAGTGGGGCTCCTGGCCTTACTACTAGCAATGTTCGCGGGCATCGCTACTAGGAGCAAAGTTGTGTGTTTGGGTACCGTTGTGTGTTTTGCTTGGGATCCAGTGCTTTAGAAGCAAGCACTCACTCACATCAAAGTCCTGGTGGATTGAGGGGAGCACAAGATGTTGTTTTTGGTGGCGGGGACGCAGCCTTCCTTAGCCCCACCAGCTTTCAGGAATCTTATCAGAAGTCCGGATACATTGGAAGAAAGTTGCTCCAGCTTGGTCGAATAGACCATGCGCAATTGATTGATACTACAGAATCAACTCTGTAATCTGTAGTATTCCAATCGAATCTGCGACGATCCTCACGCAAGACTTGTAGAGAGAGTTTGGGTGCACCCCCCCAAAAAAGAGTGGTATATAAAATGGGTGTTTACAAATTCTAATTATATTCTAATTAGTTTTAGTTCTAATTTATATATTGTTTCTGATAGCTTCTTGTTACTAGTAGTACGGCCAGGAGCCCGTAGTAGCGTCCTTGCTCCTAGTAGCGATGCCCTTTGCTCCTAGTAGCGTCCTTGCCAAGGCCTTGAACAAATCTTCCCCAGATCTCGCGTCGCGCCGCGCAGGACTCGCACCGCCGCGCGTGGCCGAGGAGGCTGCGAAGGTGGCGCAGCAGGTTCCGGAAGAACGTGCGACGTGTGAGCTGCAGATGCGTTGCTTTTGAAAGAGCTGAACGGGTTTGTTTGAACTTGCCTGGATGTTTTTCCCCACATTGACGTGTGGGGCTTTTGTTCCTCTTCTTCTCCTCCTCCTCCTCCTCCTCGAACCACCAACCACCAACCAACCACCAACAAACCAACAACCAACCGCCAACCAACTACCAACCGACGACCAACCACCAACCAACCAACCACCAACAACCAACCACCAACCAACCACCACCAACTACGAACCACCAACCACCAACCAACCACCACCAACTACCATCAACTACCAACCACCAACCACCAACCAACCACCAACCAACCGCCAACCAACCACCCACCACCAACCATTAACCAACCACCACCAACCACCAACCACCAACTTTGCGTGGCAGGGGCAGCACTTGGTGCTCTCCAAGGGGTCGGATGTACGCCCTGGCATCCCTGGGTCTCCGCCGCTCTGCCGGTGTGATTTGCGTGGCAGGCGCCGACGCACGAGGTCACAGTGGACACTCATCTCGGCCTCGTGTCAGTGGGCAATGTAGATGCCAAGTTCCTGTGTCACAATACCGTGCACACAACCACAGCCACAATCACAAACGCGCAATGACAAGCACACAACCACAAGCACAACCACAGCCACAACGACACAGACGCAACCACAAGCACAACCACGACGCAACCACAAACACACAACCACAGCGACAATCACAAACACGCAATCACAAGCACACAACCACAAGCACAACCACAGCCACAACGACAAAGACGCAACCACAAGCACAACCACAAACACAATCGCAAACGCAACCACAAACACAACCACAAACACACAGACACACAACCACTACAACTACCACTACCACTACGACGACTACTACTACTACAACTACTACTAATACTAATACTACTACTTCTACTTCTACTACTACTGGGGGCCCCGGACGTTTGCAAGGTTCGGAGCTATGAAGGTCGGGCCCCGAACTGCGCACTACTATTGCTGCTACCACCACAGTACTGCCACCGCAGCACTACTACTACTACTACTGCTGCTACTACTACTACTACTACTGCCACTACTACTACTGCTACTACTACTACTACTGCTACTACTACTACTACTACCACTACCACAACCACTACTACTACTACTACCACTACTACTACTACATACTATACTATACTATACTATACTATACTATACTGTACTGTACTGTACTGTACTGTACTGTACTATACTATACTATACTATACTATGCTATGCTATGCTATACTATACTATACTATACTATACTATACTATACTATACTATACTACTACTTCTACTACTACTACGACTAGGACTACGACTACGACGACGACGACTACTACTACTACGACCAGGACTACGACCACGACTACGACTACGACTATCCTAGACGCTCCAACGTTGTCCCTGGGACACGTGTTTCAACAAACGACATAGCACGGTGTCGTTTGCAGAAACTGCTTCCTTTGTATGTGTATACAAAAGACCTTCTTCATTGGTGTTTATTAGTAATGAAGTTTTAAACTGCAGGCTGCTACTGACACGACACCGGAAGCTGTCGTTTGTAATTGGGAAAGCTTGCCGTTAATAAGGTTTTCAAAAACACTGCCGTATATAGTTTCTAGTTTTTACGTTTTTGTAGTTTTTTGTGCCTTTTTTGGCGAACGACAACGGAAAAAACGCTTTGACAAACGACACCGTACGGTGGCGTTCGCAAGTCACTCAAGTACATTGTCACAGGCCTCTTTGTTTTGACGTTCTCTGCAACCATCCCACACGAAGTCGGATTTGAGCCACTAGTTACTATATATTATAAATATATATGTGCGCACACTGTGTGTACATGTTTGCAGCGGAAGATGTTCTTGGAGGGGGTGAGGGAAAAAACATTGTCATCCCGCGCTGGATCGAGCTGCTCAAGTTTTTGAGGGCACCATGAAAAATAAACTATAGACCTCTCATGGTAGACAAACCAGTTTTAACGCACAACAACACCGAATAACACCAAGTTTTGACTGAAGGGTGGGCGCCTCTCATGCTGCTTCTGCGGCCTTCCGGCCATGTCGCGTTTTTTTGCGCGCCCCATTGTCTTGCTTTCTGAGCCCTGGCTTTTTCGCCAAGTTCAACTCTTTGTTGAAAGGACCACACCAAGCCTTGTTTCTCAGGCTTCCCTTTTAACACCCTTCCCTCTAGTACCTGGTGAGTGTAGAGTAGACCATCATGTGGAAACATCAGTTGGGGTTGCGGAAAACCTTTCAAGCCCTTTAAGAACATGTGTGTGGTCGGTCCCCTAACCCTCTCGATAGAAAAGCGAAAGGGCCAGAATGCTTCTTTGTAGCACTCTGTACTGCATTGAACATCCATGACACTGACGTGCCACAGATTTCAGCTTCCCCAAATAACTTTCATCGTCAGTGCATGTAAAGCACTTCGGATTCAAGGATTGACAAGAAACAATTTCCTTCAAATGCCAAAGATAGTGATGCTTTGGTCTCAACTTAAAGATTTGGAAACCAGCAGTCCACGAGTAAGCCGCAAGGGTCTGCGCCGTGCGCAAATGAACCTTCAGGCATTCAGTCATTTCCTTGGCAGGCGGTTGGAACGGCAGTAGTACCTGTTGGATTGAACATATGGGAGTACACGCCGGCCAAAACCATTTAAAAAGGTTCATGATCCAGAAGAGTATCATCTCTTTCTGAGGTTGTTAGAATAGGCCCTCCATGATCCATGATCTTGATGGTGCGCGCCAAGGAAAACATGTTGGCGGCCAATATCTGCAAGATTGGGTCCTCATTTTCATCCTGAGACTGGGACGAATTGGGGATCACGAGATGTCCGGATTGGCGTTTGGGGTTGGGACAAGGTTTCAAAAAGGGTTGAAACGGATTGCGTTGTAGACATTTGTAGACTAGTAGACTGACTAGTGGCGGAGGCATCTGCAAGCTGTTGAACTTTGGTGGTGAGCCACATGATCATGATCTTGACATGGCATGCCTTGAAGCGGCTTCCAAGCTCCGCGTAGTCCTCATGCCCCCACGTGTTGCAGTTGGCTAGCGTCAAGATACGCCGCGGCACATAAATCCTGAGACGCACTGAGCAAATCCCATAAGGCACAAAATAGTCATTGAACAGAAAGTATAAACATGTATAAACAATACTGGGCAAAAGACAAAATCCCTGAAGTTAGCATTGCTACGAAAAAACCCTTTGTTCTTACAGCTTTCCCGCATCTCCATGGTAGCTCGTTGGAGAAACTTCGCATCAGTCTCTCCTGGTTCATATCCATATCCTAGTATGTTCAGGAGCCTCAGAGCGCTTGGCACTAGGTCCTTTGCGACTTCAAGGTAAACGAGATGCATCCAATCAAACCCAACACTTTCCAGCTGCCAACCGCCCACGGCGGCCCACGGTGAGATCAAAGCTGGAGGGGTTGAACGCATGTACTGCTCGTGGGTTACCAAAGTTCTGGTGTAAGCAGCTTGCGGGGAGAAGTCCTTGTAGGACAACGGGTCAGGTTGATTGGTGGTCGGGGCGACCGCGTTGCAGCGGTCACAGCACTGCTTACATTTGTAGTAGCGCTTGAAGAAGAAGTTGCATTCCATGCGTGCTTTCAAATCTGCCTTGAAGGAGAAAAAGATCATCCTAGGCTACCGGTCCAAATTTGGCTGTCACACCAGAACCACATGTTACTAAAAACGGTTCAAAGATGTTCAAAGTCTTTCCATGATGGAGCCTAGGAACTTGTAACCGGTTGCCAACTTACTCCCAGCAAATTGAGATCTGAAGCTCTTCTTCGGGAAGCTCTCATGGTAAAAACCACTCGATGGCGCAACCCCCTGGCAAGCCTGCTTGAGCGACCAGGCTGTGACATTGGCAATGGCTTTCTCCACACCTCTTCTGACCTGAGACGGATGAGGCATGGGGCCTGTGGAAGAAATATGCGGTATTACCGGCGTTCGCAATAAACACTTCAAAAAATAGATACAGGGCTCAGCAAAGATACTGCAGGGAGCATCATATCCCTTTCTGCTACAATGGCTATGGGGATTTTTTGGATCAGAGGATCTTTCACGCTGCCAAACCCTGTGAACGCTGATGACCACGACCAAACGAAAAACTCTTCGTTGGTGAACATCTCGGCTCCATCTCCATGAATGGTGCAGGGAATAGTTACCCCCAAATCTTCACTGGACAACTCATGTAGTTCCCTGTGATGTTTGAATTCCTCCAATGTTTTGACGTGCTCCCAGAACTTCCGGATGGCTTTGTTGCTGAAGCCGCCAAGCAACACCGAGGAAAACTGCCAGGGGTTTTGAAAATAATCACTAACAAGAACCGAAGAGATGTAAAGAAGAGTGCATGGGTTGTTTTGCAAAACGTGTGAACCTGGAAACTCCTCGCACTTGCTGCATGGAGCATCTCATGTGGAAGGATGACCCACGCTTCCACCAACGTTGGCTCTTCGGCGTTGTTGACCTCCAGATGCACAAGTCTGTGTCATAAGTACTGAACAGTTTTCTGGACATCATACGAGTTTTTGACAAACCATACAAACCACTATGTTTTAGAAAACTTCTCAATCAAGATCTAGTTGCGCTGAGTTCCAGCTCGATGCGGTATGGTTCCAGCTCAAACCCCCAAAGGCCCCGCAACCAACGGTGTAAATCCCTCTCGGTGTTCTGGTCTGAAACTCCATGGGCCCCACAACTAGTTAAAGCCGCCAAGGCCTTTGATTCCAAACCGTCAGATCGAACAGCGCGTGCGATGTCAGTAGCAGTCTGTATATGACTCCCACCTCTCCCGATACACTCAAGTAGTTTGTTGACAGTCTGGCTCTCCGGCAGTGATTCAAGCCTTTGGCGTTTTCCGGCACATAGGTGACCTGGCCACGGAAGAAAAACATGTTCTCTTGTTTGATGTTTTGCACGTACTCAAGTTGAAGCT